GGACGGAGGGAGTATGAATTAAGATTGACCATTTGCATCTTGATAGGCTCCAATTTATTAGCTCATCTTATCCAGAAACAGACTTGTATAAGCACAAGATGTTGAGAACACAGATACAGCAGCCTCRTTGATCATGTGATTTTGAGCTCCTCAAGCCAAAATCATCGTAGGTTTTTTGAGCACTAGTTTCAAAAATCATTTGGAAAAGCCAATCATGATATGGACCGTAATCCCAATAATCCCACTGCTAAAAAAAATAATATTTGTTCATTCAACCTGAAAATTGTATGATTGTATCAGATAATCACATAACTTGATTCTCGTTTCAAGTTTCACTTGTAAAATGCTTGAGTGGTAAATATATTTTCAACAACAGATGCATGAAGCAATTGACAAAAAAATTAATGAGACTAAGGGCCTGTTTGTTAGCAGCTTAATGAGCTTAATGGGACTCACCTTATTCGGTGGGCTGTACATGATTGTTTGATAGAGAAAGTGACTTATCCAATAAGATTCTAGGGGGACCTTTATGCAGAAAGCCAAGTTTTTTCCAAACATGCCCCTCCCAATTAAAAAACACGCTCCTTCCATCTATGAAAAACCTTCCCAAACTATAATTTTTCCTTTTTCTCATACATTAATAAAATGTTTTAATAACTACATCTTTTTTAATAATGTGTACACTTTAGGTTCCCTTCATAATTGTTAGAGGAACAATCACCTGCATAGTTCCCTCATTGGGATGGTTTTACAAGGGATGCATAGTTCCCTCTTGTGTTGTAAGTCGATGTCTTCACCTTTTTACATCATTTTATTAACGTTAGTTCATCGTGTAAAAGATTTCATAGCCACTAATTTTATATGTATTCTTTAGGTATAAAATACACATAAGAATCAAAGACGAGACTGGGGAAACCAGTTGTGTTTTGTTCAATATTGTTGCTGAAAGAGTGCTTGACACTTCAGCACACAAACTGCTTAACAAACAACCACTAGGTAGTGATGACGTTCCAGCAGAGGTTCATACCCTCGTCGGAAAAGAATATGTCTTTAAACTAAAACTAAATGAGTACAATATTGTACATGGACGCGAAGATTTTACAGTGACTAGCCTATGGATTTCTGATGAGCAAATACAAAAAGATTGTGACACTGAAAATGCTGGAAAGKTTAGTTATAAATTATGTTCATGTAACTTCTTTGAATATGTCATCACTTTATGCAATGTTMTTTTTGGCTTTATTAAGGAAAAAGACTCTCATCCAAATTTGAAAGCACTTCTCGAAAGGGGGAGAAACCGGTTACAAAGGTTTGTATGGTTTTTGTAAATGACAATTGCATTTCAAATATTCTAAATCACTTGTGTTCTTGCAACAAAATCTTATTACCTAATAAATATCTTGTAGGATTTAGAAGTTACTTTTGTTGCTTCTGTGRAGGATGAGAAAACAAGTGATGATGAAACACTATCACCAACCAAGAAGAAAAAAAAGAGTTGTTGAGGACGATGAGGAAGGTTTTGGCAACTAAATAATTGCTTTTATGGCGAATAAAAGATAGCTTCTATCTCCATTTCCATGATGTTAGATTATTGATAGACTAATTT